AGGAGGAGGAGGAGCGGTGGAGGAGGAGGAGGCGGTGGAGGAGGAGGAGGAGGAGGAGGAGGAGGAGGAGGAGGAGGAGCTGGAGGAGGAGGAGGAGGAGGAGGAGGAGGAGGAGGAGGAGGAGGAGGAGGAGGAGGAGGAGGAGGCACGGGAAGGCACCTGCGGGGTGCGAGCGGCAGCGCGGAATGCCAGCGAGCCTCGGCCGCAGGCGTGCGGGTGGCCAGTGCCCGGCGCCCTGCCACTCCGCCTGGGGGGACCCCCCGACGGGGGGGCGGCCGCAGCTCCCACGATGGCGTGCCGGAGGAGGCGCTGCCGCTACAGTGGAGACAGGAGCCAAGAAACACCCTGCTCGCCTCCAGGGTGCCCTGGGTTCCTTGGGTTTCGATGGTTTTGCCATGGGAAGCGCGACGTCTCCACGCCAAAGATCAGTGGACGTTCTAAGGTATCAGGGTTGGGCTTCTGACGGAAGGTTTCCTGTGGACCGGCTTCCACTGTGCGGCCCATGCGACCCCCGCGATCCCCGACCGCCTCACGGGTGGCGTGCACCAGCAGAGCGCAAGCGGAGGAAGAGGCACGGGGTCGGCTGCTTCCACTTCGGCCCTGCGAGCCCTGGCGAGAGCGGCCTGGAGGCCCCGAGCCTGCCCCGGGAGGCAGAGGGCGGCGGGGTGGACCACCGGCGCGCCGCGGCCGCAGACGTGCGGGTGGTCGAAACCCGCGGGCCTGGCAGTCCGCACTGTGGGACCCTCGACTGCGAGGCGGGGATTAATCCGCATCCTCCGCTTGGGAACCGACGTCCTGGTGCCCCAGCGGGCGGTGGACATGGAAATCTATAGTCGGGCCCTCGGTGCGGAGGTCCGCGAGAATCGATCCCCAGGCGGTGGATATGGATAAATCCCAGCCTCGGATCGACGGAGGGGTGGCCGGTGCTCCCACGGTGGAGGGCAGAGAAGACCCCGCCGCGCCAGGCACGGGCATGCACCTGGGGGGGGGCAAGCGGCGGCGCCGACCCGCCGCGACAGACCTGAAAAGGCAACGCGCGGGTAGCCAGCCCACCACGCGCACCAGAAGGAATTCCGAGAAGGCAAGCATGGCCTTGCTCAATGTCTACACTCAACCGTATCATAAGGTTACACGATGACGATGCAAATGGCCTTGGAAGGCCATGCCGACACCTTGCAAGCGGGGCGCGGCCAGCGAAAACGGCCAAGGACGGACCGAAGGGGAAGGATGCATGGGCACCCTTGGGCAGGTTGCCCATCCTTACTATGCGGGTTGACTGTTCTTCGCCAACATAACCAGAAGAGCCAGAAGGGCCTCCACTGCATCACAAAGGAGAACAGCCACGCGAGCCAGGCGCACATCACGGGAGTGGCGGAGCATCACTTGCGAGGCGAACAGCTGAATGAAGCCAACGAGCGAGTCTCAGAGCTAGGGTGGGCCACCAAATCGGTGCCAGCGACCGAGACCGCAGGCCATGGCGCCAGGGGTCGTGGAGAGATGCGAGCACAGGGGGCATGGGAGCGGCAGCGCCTGGGGGCGTGACCGTTCAGGGTCACGCGCCGTGGTTCCAGGATGGTGGCGTAACAGTTCGAACGAGAGATGGCATGGAGGAGTTGCACAACTTGGCCAGGAGGACACGCAGTGGCCAGCAGCATCCGTTCGACCTCAAGGCTTTGAGGTGCCCTTTGTGTGCCCATGTACCTCGCACTAGGAGGGGGGCTGGCGGGCCTCAACACCGACACGCTCTACAGTTTGGCCTCGTCTGTGAAAACAACAGGACTGATGCTCATCGCCATGTCTGAAATGACATGGGGCAGCATGAGTCGGATCGTACCCAGATCATCACCCAGCTGAAAAAAAAGGTAAGCGTGACCTTGTAGGAGTTGTTCGCGTGGTGGTGGCTGGGGCACTTTGGCCAGCCGGCAGACGCTTCGGTGACGAGGCCTGGCGGCCATCGCACGTGAATGTACCTTCCGCCGAAGGTGCCACCCCTCCGCAGGAAGTGGGCCAGATCGGCTCCGACACTGCCCCATGGGGCCCCACAAGAGCTCGGAGGCCCTGGGCAGAAGGAGGAGGAGGAGGATGAGGAGGAGGAGGAAGAGGATGGGGAGGATGATGGTGATGATGAGGAGGATGAGGAGAAGGCGGAGGAAGAGAAAGAGGATCCTGGCTTTTCTTTAAAGGAAATGCTCCGAGGAGCACAAGAAGAGGAGCAACTCGCCTGGCCAGGACCGTCAAGACCGCCAGAAGAGCCTCTGGATCAGCCCCTGCTGCCCAGCCTGGACCAGCCCTGCTTGCCCCAAGTGTCGAGCACCGCAAGGCACATACGGTACACGAGGGAGATGCAGAAAGACAAGGCCGTCCTAAGGAAAAAAAGGTGGACACAAACAACACGGCTAGTCCGAGGAGCCCGAGGAGAGGGGACGGGGAGGGCGGTTGCGGCGGGGGGCGGTCCTCGAAGTCGCTGAGGTGGCGGGCGGGGCGGCCGCGGCACCAGATTTTGGAGTGCCCCGCTATAGAGGCCCTGGAGGGGCTGAGTGAGGATCTCACCGCCCAAACCGAGGAGGAGGAGGCCCAGAACTGGCTCTGCTTCGAGCAGCGTGGCCTCGTGCCTGTATTGTGGCCATGCCATCATGCGCCGCGCCCGATCCAAAGACAAAAGAAGTTTCGGGCGGCGAGCTCCAAGGGCACCCGTTTCTCGAGCTGGATCAAATACACCACTGTCGCTACGGATGGCTCGGGAGGCAACTGTCATGAAGACTTCCGTCTGCGGAGATGTGGATGGGGGTTTGCCTGTTTGCGCGGATGGGAGCTGGTTGCTTGGGCGTACGGCCCATGAGACCGTTGGAGACAATCAATCCCGATAACAAAACTCACAACAGCCGCGAAGGCCATCCGTCTCACTCGCGGCAGGCCCTTGCTATTACTTGATGCACAGAGCGTCGTCGATGATATTAAGAAGGTTTCGAGAGGCCACCATGGACAACACACGCGTCTTTGGACCCAATTCGGGGAAGAGGTCGGAGACCGCCCAGTTGCTGTGCAACATATCAAATCGCACCTGGCAGCTGAGCGGGCTGAAGCGAGCACAATCCCCCCAGAACAATGGCTTGCGAATGTGCTTGCTGATCTGTGTGCCGAGGAGGGAGCGTGAGTCGTCCAGCTGCATGCGGAATCTATCAACGAAGCAGCGAGGATAGACGCCCTCGCAAGCCGAGTCCAGCAACACTTGATTGCAGTTGCAGAGCACATTGCCTGTCACGCCCCAGAGACTTGCGGTGCCTCGTCGGAGACCGATCGGCAGCACGGGGCCAAAGGTAGCCGACGGGGATGAAAACTAACCTGGAAGCTGCAATCAGTCGGTCAAACCCAGCAGCACGTGGAAACGGGTGCTCGCGGTATTTTCTGCAAGCCTTGCCACAGCAAGCTCAATGCTGCAATTCCCTGTCTCGAATGGCTAGCTTCATCGTGCAGAGGCTACCCAGTGCAGCTCGACCCCACCCACAGGATCATGAAGTACAGCGGTTTCTTTTGGTGCAGGGCCTATGGGGTGGGGTGGGGGTCCGGAGTTTGTATTGAAGGGGAAACATTGCGCGAATCTTTTCCCTCGATATGGAAAGAAGATAATCTATGCCCCTGCAAAGGGCATGCTCCCACCAAAGTATCGTGATTGGCCCCAGCCGCTTGACCTGAAACCTGTCAGCCGGATTGCTTCCCGAAAGTGGCGAGGGCCACAACTGCTGCTGTGAGACGATTCATGCGCACAGTTCGGTAAGCGGTGCGAGGAGAAGGGGCAGGGATGAGGGAGAGGAGGAGGAGGAGGAGGAGGAGGAGGAGGAGGAGGAGGAGGAGGAGGAGGAGGAGGAGCGGGATGAACAGGATGACGATGATGCTGCTGCTGATGATGATGCTGATGCTGATGATGACGATGGTGATGGTGATGATTCTGATGATGATGGTGATGATGATGGTGGTGATGCTGCTTCTGCTGCTGATGACGACGACAACGACATTGAGGATGCAGATGACGATGTTGCTGATGATGGTGATGATGATCCTGCTGATGATGTTGACGATGATGATGGTACTGCTGACGATGATGATGCGGATGCTGATGCTGATGCTGCTGGTGGTGCTGATGGTGAGTAAGTATGACGATGATGATGACGATGTTGGTGGCACTGCTGATGCTGATTGATGTGCTGAACATGCATCATGCGATGCTGCTGCTGATGACAATGACGATGACGATGCTGTTGAGGATGATAAAGCTGTTGATTATGCTGATGATGCTGATGATGATTATGATGCTGCTGCTGATGAGGCTGATTATGATGATGAGGATGATGTTGATGCTGCTGATGATGACGATGATGAACGTACTGATGATGATGGTGATGATGGTGATGATGGTGATGATGATGATGATGATGATGATACTGATTCTGATTCTGATTATGATGATGATGATGATGATGATGATGATGATGATGATGATGATGATGATGATGATGATTATGATGATGATGATGATGATGATGATGATGATGATGATGCGGGTCCTGCTGCTGCTGCTGACGACGATGATGATGAGGAAGAGGAGGAGGAGGAGGAGGACAAGGAGGACAAGGAGGAGGAGGAGGAGGAGGAGGAGGAGGAGGAGGAGGAGGAGGAGGAGGGGGATCAGGAGGAGGACAAGGGAGATGCGGGGGGAGGATCGAGCATTCCTCCCTGCTTCTCCCTCTCCCTCTCCCTCTCCCGCCCTACCCCACTTCCTCCCGCCCTCCCTCGCTCCCTCGTCTCTCGCTCGCTCCCTCCCTCCCTCGCTCTCTTCTCTTACTCACTCTCTTCCCCTGTGCCACTCCTTCTCCCTCGATCGCTAGCTCTCCCCCTCCCTCCCTCCCTCCTCTCGCACTCCTTCTCCCTCGATCGCTCCCTCCCTTCCTCCTTCCCTGCCCCTCTCGCTCGCTCTCCCTAAACCTCCCCCATTTCTTCGTGTCCTTCATCACCTGCCATCGCCTCTTCCAGGCCGGCAGGATGCGCGGCCCCGTGTGGCTGTCCAGGCCGTCCCGGTGGCGCTGGCACTCGGGCGTGACGTCCTCCAGGGACTCTGGGTGCTCGTCAAAACCTCGAGGGCAACCACACTTTTTGCGTCGGCGGCCGGGCAGAGTAACTGCGCTAAGCGGAGGAGCTGACGAAACGGGGGCACCGTTGCAGCGAAGTGTGCCACAGTGCAAGGAAGAGGGAGACAGGGGCAGGGAGGGCGGCTGAAGGAGAGGGAGAAGGGACGAGGGCCGGGGACGGGTCACACCGGGAGCGCGTGGCGCGGCCGGCCCCGCCGGCAGGGTCTGCGGCGGCTGCTGCGCCGGGGTTCCAGCGGCGGCGGGGCTCAGTGCGGGTACGAGGGCAGCCAAACACCCAATCGTGAGATCCTCTTTGTTGAGGGCCCCCAAGGGTCTGGACCCCTTCCCTGAGACCGGTTTTCCGTCCCGAGTCGTTTTTTGACGGCCCCAAGGCTCGGTAATGGCCTCCAAATTTGGACGCCCGAAATGGGCACGGAAATAATGGGTACAATGCCCAACAACAAACGTTGTCCCAAACCATTAGCGGCCGCTGTTGGGCAGGCGGCCTTCTGTCTCAAATGGACACAGGCCGCGGCGGCACCGACCGCGAGCCCTGTTCAAGATGAACAAGAACTGCTGTTGGGCATTGTGCCCACTCTCTCCGTGCCCATCGCGTTCGTGCAGACCGGAGGCCGAGAACAGAGAGACACCACCCACCGTGTTTTTTTCTCATGGCTCGAGGGGGTCAGGGCAGGCCGGGTGGCCACGCACCTCTGGTCCTTCGGAGCAATCTCCCCCCGCCCGAAGCGTCCGGAGGCCGTCCTCCTCCTCCTCCTCCTCCTCCTCCTCCTCCTCCTCCTCCTCCAGGCCACGGGGGCCGTCGAAGAGAGGATCGGCTCGGGGCGGGAAGCCGCTGTCTGCCCTGGAGCGGCGTCGACGACGAGGTCCAGGGGGCCAGCGCTTCCCGAACCGAGCCGTCGGGAGTCTGAGAGCACGGCGATTATGATATTCCCCCCCCCCCTCCCCCCTGAGGGGGGGGGGGGGGCTGGGATGTGGGACGGGAGGGGGCCGAACCGCAGGTACGATTTTGGCCCTGGGCCCTCTGCTGCCCCTGCACCCAGCAGCCCTCCGATGTCGGCACGGCCCATGGTGCTCAGGCGCCGCACCGCCACGTCGAGGTGCTCCTGCGAGGGGAGGTCTTGGCGGACGGTAATCTTCGCCGCGTCCCTGTTCTGCTGGTGCCAGATGAAGACGTCGAACTGCCCGGCAACGGTTGGCATTCCTGCTCTGGGACTCCTGTGGCTCGTCCACTGCGTCTTGGCAACTGCCACTTTGTAGGCATCCCTGCTGGATAAGGTGAGGTTGTCGCTACCCCACTCCGAAATGCTCAGCCATGGGGACTCCTGCTCTGACTTCCAAAGCACTCGTGCTCCCAGAAAGCTGCTGTGAGCTTCGGAAGACTGGTTCTTCAGGTAGGAGCGCACCTCCAAGACCTTCTCGTCCAACCAAGTTCCACTAAACCGCACCTGCGTGATGAACGTGGTGCACGGAGTGCCTGGTGCTGGTTTGATGGTGGCGAACACAGAGAATTCCGCAGGATGTGCTGCGTTTTGAGGTATTCGGAGAAGCTCGAAGTCGCCTCCATGATTTACGTCAAAATGCTCCCCCATAAGATTGACCAAATGCGGGTCGCCTCTGGCTTGAACAGTTGGGGCAGGAGTTGGCATTGGTTGACCAGGGCGAACGAGGGTAACGCAAGCACCACTCGTGCCGACAGTGACACCATTCTCCGTTCTTGTTTCTCCTGTCCACTCACCCATGTCGCAGGCTTGCCCCTCAACGCACGATGATTTACCACACCCGCACGGGTAGAACGCGGAGAAAGAAATGCCGTCCTGCTTCGTGCAGGTTCGCACGACCGCAGAGTAACCTGGAAATCCCTGGTTGAGTCCGTGTCCGAGCTGAATGCTCCCGAAACCAATGACTGTGGCCTCCTCGAAATAACTTTTGTCAGGCGGCGAAATTGATATGACATCCCCGAACATTATTCCCTCGGTCTCGCTTGTTACCACAGCCGTGGCGCCTGGCAGCACAGGCTCAAGCGTATAAGGAAGGGACCCGTCGACACAATCGTCAAAGTCGCCAGCATCGAAATCGGGAGCCACACAAGGGGTGCATGAGGTCGACCGGCGACGCGTCGTTGCGCCATCGCACCTCAAGCACACGGACGTCTGGTCAATCACGTAGAAGCCAAGGTCGCACTCACTTGGCTGGGGGACAAAGTACGACTCTAGATCGAGGCCGTTGTCCCCCACGTAAGTCGCACACTCCGACTGGTTCACGCAACCGTCCTGATCAACGTCCATGCCTGAGAACTGTCCGCTCAATTCCGTCACCACATCGATCTCCGCCTCGACCAAGCACCCGTCACCGTCCTTGTCGTACACAGGGAAGCCGCCGCACGAGTCGCAGTGGCATGGCGTTCCGGGCTCCAGCGTCGGGGCTGGAGTCTGCATTGGACCGAGCCTGGCACGCGCCCGCTGCGTCGCCTGCGCGGGAGAGAAGCCGAGGCCCTGGGCTCGGAACGTCTCGCCGTCGCAGGTGATCTGCCAGGTCGATCCGCTGGACGGCAGGCCCGCGGGGCTGTCGGCTGCAATGTGAGCAAAGTCCGAGCAGTCACCATCACCGTCCAGATCTGCAGCGGCTGTCAAGCTCGGCTCGTCGTTGTCGATGATCCACTGGCTCAGGGATGCAAGCTGGCTGCCATCACAGCTTGGGTCATAGTAGAGGTAGGTGCCCTCTCCGTTGCTATAGATCGGCGCTCCGCTCGCGCTGGTGCCGGAGTGATCGAACGTAGTGCTACCGATGCTGATGCACTCGCGCGGCCACGACACCGTGAGCGCGAATGCCATTGCACAAGATGTGTTGTCCGTCCCACAAGCCTCGCCGATGCGGCAGACCTTGGGGGGACAACACACATGTCGATGCCGCTACTTCACGGACCTCCCCTGGGGTGAAGTGTGGCCAGACTTTCGGGGAGGGTTCGGCCGCGGCGACGAGGGCTCTCCAGGACGCGCAGCGGCCCAGAGGACCGCCCAAACGATACCGATGCCGCTGCTCCACTGACTTCTCTCGGGGTGCGTGCTGACCAGAATTTCGAGGACGATCCAGCCGCGGCAGCGATGGCTCTCCGGGACGAGCAGGCGGGAGGAGGGAGGCGGGAAGCGGGATGAGGGAGGAGGGTCAAAACGAATGTGCGCGGCGCTAAGGCGAGAACCACATTTTGAAAACGGGTTTCCTGAATCCGTGAAACTCTTGCAAATTTTAAAGCGAATGTGCGAGGCGCTAAAGCGAGAGCCACATTTTGAAAACGATCCGCCCTCCATCTGTGAAGCGGTGAGGAATTCTTAGGCGAAGCGCCGGGCCCGCCTTGAAAGCTGGCCTCGGGGTGCGACAGGGAGAAATTATTCACAAGGAAAACGAACGAATGGAAGAGGAAGAGGAGGAGGAGGAGGAGGAGGAGGAGGAGGAAGAGGAGGAGGGAGAGGAGGAGGAGGAGGAGGAGGAGGAGGAGGAGGAGGAGGAGGAGGAGGAGGAGGAGGAGGAGGAGGAGGAGGAGGCGATGAGGGAGCCGTGAACCGCGAACAACGTCGCGCCCTCGTGGCGGCCCTTGCCTTTCTCGGGGGGACGCATAAGACCCGGGTTCGGGGGGCTCGGGTTGGTCTGACGGGGCCAGCATGAAAGAGATGAGACCCAGTCTGAAATTTGGCGCGCGAACTCCCGCGGCAGACATCCTACGAACACTGGGCTGCCAAACTCCAGGAGGGGCTCGTCAAAAAGCGTCGGCAAGCCCGAGTTCCGGCGTACTCGAATCTTACGTTTCTCTGATTTTCCTCGAGCGTGATCGGGGGAAAGGGGGGAAGCTCGTCCCCCCCGATCACATCACGGCGGGGGGCCGTCGGAAATCTTAGGACATCCTCGAAGAATCCGTGCGACATCTTTGCAGATGTGGGCAAAACAGCGTGATGTGAGCCGGGGGGGGGAAGGGAGAGGGCCGCTCACGGCCGTTCTCGCCCAGGTTCCTCCTGGAAGGAACACAAAGGCATGAACATAAACTTGTGGCGCTCCGCGCGGACTTCTTGGATCTGCGCTGGACCTTCCCCTCCCTGGCGCGCGGAGCGCGCCAGGGGCGGCGCCAGGTGGGGCCCAGCGCGGATCCAAGAAATCCGCGCGGAGCACCACAAGTTTCTGTTCATGGCGTTTTATCTCTTCTTCGAAGTGGTTCCTTTCCGCGGCGCGCACAATGGGGTAGGGAGACGGAAGGCTTCTTAGAAGGAGGCTGCTTCTTAGAAGGCGCCGGCCTTGCATCTATAGAGAAGGCCAGCGCCTTCTGAGAAGCAGGGGTGCTTCTGAGAAGCCTTCCCCCCTCCCGCTAACCTCGGCGGTGGACAAACCTCCCTTCAGTTAAACCACCCTTTCGTGAAAACGGCCCAGGACCGTTACTGACGGACCTGGACCCGCAAGAATGACGGCCGCGACGCCCTCTCTCGCGAAACGAAAACGGCCAATCCGCTAATCGACGTGTCAGGGCAGGAGGCCTCTCAGCCTCCCGCTGCCCCCCTCTGCGCGTGGCCGATCCTCTCTTCCGGAGCGTTCCCTCTGGGTGGAGGGCTCAGGGTGAAATCCACATGGGCTCGTGCACCTCGGGAGCCGGTCCGTCGTGTGACCCACCTCCTGCAGATTCAGGCCTCGAGAATCCATCGAAGCGGCATCTCAGAGCTCACCCTCTGCCCTCCACCCGACGATCTGGACGCCCGACATGGGTACGGACAAAACGGGTACAATGCCCAACGACAAATGTTGCCCCAAACCAACAGCGGCCGCTGCTTGGCGGGCGGCCTCCTGTCTCAAATGTACGCCGTCCGCGGCGACACCGGCAGCGAGTCCGGTCCAAAATGCACACAGGAACTGCTGTTGGGTGTATGGTGCCCGTTCTCTCTCCGTGCCCATCTCTCGCTCGTGCCCGAGACGAGTAACTGCTCGGCCTCCGCCCGGAGAGACCTCCCGCCCGCACCCGCAGGGGTAGCGCGCGCTGAGGCCGGACCCGTCGGTGACGTCGCAGGGCCCCGCCGGCACGAGGGCCGCGCCGCGGTCGGGGCCCCAGCCGCCGAGGCCCGGGCTGCGCGCCGGCGCCGGGGCGGCCGCCCCCAGTCTGCCCTGTGCTCGGGGAGGCGCGTAGAGGGCACTTTTTAACACATGGGATTTTATTAAGAAATATATGATTTTCTCATGCATGACTAATCTATGCATAAACTTATGCATGAACTCATCGTTGTGTTTAATAATGAATCCCTGCATTTTTAATGCATGATCTGAAAGCGGAGCATGTGTTAAAAACGGCACTGTGCGCAGGCAGGGGCGCGCGGTGAAGAGAATCGAGGCGGCGGGAGGTTTGGGCAGATTCCGGCCTCGGGGGGCCCTCGCCAGGCCTCGGGGGCGGCAAGCGTTGGAGGCGCGCACAAGGGGGTGGAGGGAGGGGGGGAGGGCTTCTTAGAAGGAGGCGCCCGCCGCTACACATCAATCGATGAGGCCCGCGCCTTCTAAGAAGCAGGGGTGCTTCTCAGAAGCCCTCCCCCCGTCCCCCACCCCCCTCTGCGCGTGGCTGAAAGCAGGACAGCTCCCGGGGGCCCCGTGCGGAACAAGGCAGGACGTCGCATGGCTGGGCCCGGGCCCATGGGGACTCGGGTTGGCCTGACGGGGCCATCGTAAAGATGCCGAGACTCAATCTGAAATTTTCGGGTCGGGCAAAAGGGGGGGATAGCAAAGGGGGGGTTTGAGAATCAGCTCACGTAGCTGATTTTCCCGGCGCCTCCCTGCGCCGGAGGCGGCCATGTATCGAGGAATGGTCCCCTCGGTGAGGCCCAAAACCAGCTGCATGCAGCAAATGTCGTACCCCCCCCTTTCCCAATCCCCCCCTTTCGCCCGGCCCGAAATTTGACGCGAGCTCCCGCTGCAAACATCCCACGAAGACTGGGCCGTCAAAATCCAGGACGCGCTCATCGAAAAACGTCGGCGAACCCGAGATCCGGCTGTCTCGAGTCTTACGTTTCCCCGACTCGTGCGGGGCCGGAAACCCCAGAGATCCAGCGTGCCGAAAAAATCATTTGGCGTTCCGCGCGGACTTCTTGGATCTGCGCTGTGCCCCCCTCCCTGGCGCGCGGAGCGCGCCAAGGGCGGCGCTGGAGGCGCCGCCAGGGGGGCCCAGCGCGGATCCAAGAAATCAGCGGGGAGCGCCAACAGCTTATGTTTATGCCGTTTTCTTCTTCGAAATCTACGCGGAGGTTTTTGTTCGTCGCCTTTCGGCCTGCAGGGGTCCTAGCCGGGCCGCGGGACCGTCAAAGAACGACTCGGGAAGAAGACCCGGCCTCCGGGACCGGGTCAGGACTTGTGGGGACCACGTTCGGATTCAAAAACCAAAGTATCGGATTTCTGGGCCGGCGACTCGTACGGCGGGTTCGTGATGTGACGACCCTGGCGCCAATTTCTGACACCGCGTGGGGCTGGGAACCCGCGACTCGAACGGCGGGTTCGTGTCGTGACGACCCTGTCGCCGGCTTCTGACACCACGTAGGGCTGGGAACCCCCGACTCGCACGGCTGATTCGTGTCGTGTCGACCCCGGCGCCGGCTTCTGACGTGGGGCTCGGAACCCGCGACTTGTACAGCCGGTTCGTGTCGTGACGACCCCGGCGCCGGCTTCTGATGTGGGGCTGGGAACCCGCGACTCGAACGGCGGGTTCATATCGTGACGACCCCGGCGCCGGCTTCTGACGCCGCGTGGGGCTGGGAACCCGCGGCTCATACGACGGGTTTGTGTCGTGACGACCCCCTTCGGGTCGGCGGCTTTTCGATCGCCAGATCGCTCCGTGTTGGCCGATTCTGGGCCACTGGCGGCGTGCAACCTTGAACGCCCGCGGTGGGGTCGCAGCCGCGTCGACACGGCGCGAGCCTACCGCCCCTTCTACCTCAAAGAGGGGGGGAGGTGGAGGAAGGCAGGGAGGCTGTCCAGGGATGGGGGGAGGTGGCGCTTCAATCAGTTGGAGAAAAGACGTAACACTGCTGCAACTCTTGCGGATGATGAGGATGAGGATGAGGATGAGGATGAGGATGAGGATGATGATGATGACGCTGATGATGATGCTGAAGATGATGATGCTGATTATGAGGATGATGCTGATGATGCTGATGATGCTACTGCTGCTGATGATGATACTGCTGCTGCTGCTGATGATGATGATGATGAGGAGGAGGATTATGAGAAAGAGGAGGATGAGAAGAAGGATGAGGATGATGATAATGATGATGATGATGAGGAGAACACGCGAATCAAATGACTCCGCTCCGCCGATGAAAGAAAATGAGGGAGCCACGACTGAGGCGGAGGAGGCGGAGGAGGAGGAGGAGGAGCAGGAGGAGGAGGAACAGGAGCAGGAGGAGGAGGAGGAGGAGGATGAGGAGGAGAAGAAAGGAGAGTTGCTTCACTTTTGCAGGGAGGGGGGGGGTAGGAAATGGCAGTTTTCGCCCTACGCCTCGGATTGAGGCGCCAACGCGAGGATGGTAACGCATGTGAACCATGCGGTCATCTGAATCACATGGTTATTAGAGTAAACCGTGTGCGGTACCAGGAAGCAACCGGCGATGGGCATGGGCTTGAGCATCTGAAGCCAGCGCGGCTGAGAAGCGATCATGATAGCGAAGGCTGCTTGTGATATGGGCTTCGTGCACTCCACGCGGCACGAAGATCCGCCACCGTGCCTCCAGCACTGGACTGCCCCGAGGCCCACGCGCAGCCCTGGGAGGTGCAAGCTCTGTAGCGTTCCCATAGGGGCCCGGACCCCCGGCTTCGTGGGCGCCACCGGCGCTCCTGGGCGCCGCTCGGGTGGGTCGCTCCTGGGCGCTCCTGGGACGGCCCCGCCCCCCAGACAGGCCCAGGAAGCCCCGGGAGGAGGCCAGGCGGTCGAAGAGAGCCCAGACTCGCCGAAGGATCGCTCGAATACGCCCCGAATGGCCTCCAGACTGCCGAAGGGGCCCCCAAAACGCCCCCAGAGGCGGGCGAGATGGCCCTTAATAGAGCCAACGATAGCCCTCAGATGGCCTCCAAGACGGTCACAAGATGCCCCCAAGACCGCCAAGATGGTTTAAGAAAACCCACGACGGCCCAAGAAGCGCCCAAGAGGTCCTCCAGGAAGGCCCGAGGATGCCAACATCATTTGTTTTCTTTCGGCTTTTGACATATTTTGGCATTCGCTCCACAGCGGCTGTCCGGCAACCCAAGACGACCCAAGAGGCCCCCAATATTGCCCCAATATCGCCCAAGATGCCATCGATCTGGGGCCCTGGCAGCCGTCCCCCTCGCACTCCCCCTCGTTGATTTCTTCCGGCTGACGGATCGCACGCCTTTCTGTCATTCGCCGCCCCCCTGTGGCTTGCCACAGGGGTGGACGGCGTGCCAGAAGCCTGGGCATCTCGTTCTTTCTACAGAACTCCCACGGGGACGTCGGCCCAGCCCGCCGGCCACCCAGAAAGCCGCCGAAGATTCGGTCTGCATGGGTCGCACCGCGTTGAAGACGGCCAAGACGGCCCCCAAGGTGCCTCCAAGATGGGCAATCTGCCCCAAGAGAGCTCCAAGGTGGTCTCCAAGACGGCCCCACGATGGCCTCCAAGACCGCCAAGATGGTTCATGAGAGCCCAAGACGGCCCAAGAGAGCCCAAGAGGCCCCTAAGACGGCCCAAGAAGCTTCCAACAGTTCTTCCGGGCAGGCCCGAAGATGCCGACATCAATGATTTTCCTTATACTATTTTTGGGAAGACTTTGGCATTTGCTTCAAAACGGCCTTCCGATGGCCCAAGGGACCCCCAATATTGCCCCAATGTCGCCCCAAAGGCTTTCAAGATGGCGCCTGGGCGGCCCAAGAGGCCCCCACGACGGTCCCCAAAGGGCTCCCAAACGGTCCAGAGAGGCTCGCAAGACGGCTTCCGACGGCGTCAGACGGGTCAGGAACGCCGTAAGACTGTCAAAGAGGTCCCCAAGAAGCCCCCCCAAAGGCACCAAAGAGGCCCCTAAGAGGCCTCCAAGAGGCCAACAGGAAGCTCCCAGGAGGCCCCAATAATAACCCATGAAGCTCCCAAGAGGTCTCCTCATCCTTCTCCTCATCCTCCTTTTTTCCTCCCTCTCCTCCTCCTCCTCCTCCTCCTCCTCTTCCTCCTCCTCCTCCTCCTCCTCCTCCTCCTCCTCCTCCTCCCCAACGTGTACCCCGAAGGGCTGTCAGAACGGCTTGGGGAACGCATGATCCAATAGCGTGGCCAAACTTTGCCCAAACGCTTGGCCACATAGGTGTTTTCCTCAAAGGCAGGCATCGGAGGTGATTCGCCGTAGGCATCTTCGATAAACACACCGTCGCCCCACAAGCTCAACGACAGACCCCAGAGTCAGAACAACATAGACAACTTAGGAAGCCGAGGCAAGCTCTAGACTCTCTAGTTGAATGTCGTCGGTTCTAGCTGAGTGCCCCCCGTTGCACGGTTTCCCCCGGGGCCGTAGGCGACCCGAGGAGGAGGAGTGGGAGGAGGGAGGAGGAGGAGGAGGAGGAGGAGAGGAGGAGGAGGAGGAGGAGGAGGAGAGGAGGGAGGAGGAGGGAGGAGGAGGAGGAGGAGGAGGAGGAGGAGGAGGAGTAGGAGGGGGAGGGGGAGGGGGAGGAGGAGGAGGAGGAGGAGGAGGAGGAGGAGGAGGAGGAGGAGGAGGAGGAGGAGGAGGAGGAGGAGGAGGAGGAGGAGGAGGAGGAGGAGGTTTTCCCGCGAGCACAGCGTGGGCGAGCACCTCGCGTCCACCTGCGACAGACCTGGTTAGACCTCCGCACCGCCTGAGGCGGCGGAGGAAGAGAGTGCCTCCACGCCGCTTCCAGCGGCAGAGGCCCTGGCAGCAATCCCAATCGACTCCAGAAAATCCAATTCCTGGGTTCTTGACAGCGCGACCACCTCTCCAGGCAGTCTATCATTCTTATACGGATGCTTACCTGCCAGCAAACGATTTCGTCGAGTCTTGGCGTTGTGGTCCTTCGGGTCCTTAGGACATCCAGCAAGTAACCCACAAGCCCTGGCGCTCAAAAAGGCGCCGCACTCTCGACAGAAGGTATAGTGGCCTATTCGAGACAGCTTGTGTCGCCTTGGCCCCTGCAAAGGAGCCCCGTCGACACGCGCTATCTTCTTCCACTTACCGTGGGAGGAGAAACCCTTCCTGCAAAACTTACGAGACAACACCAACTTGGCCTTATAGCTGTGGGCCCGTCTAGCACAACAAGCACACCTCCAAGACCCCCTATCCCACTCCAGGACGTGCCGAGACTCTGGAGGAGGCAGCACCAAACGGCGCGGCCGAGGGCCAGGGGGCTGGGGGGCATTCTGGAGACGGCCTGTGGTGTCGTCAAACGTGCCTATCTTACAAGTCATGTCACCGGCGAGCCCGAGAACAGCACAAACCTCCTTGAACCTAGACACCCACGTGTCACGAGTGTGAGGCGGGATGGCGTCTAGCTTGGCTCCCTCCTTCGCTTGAAGGTCGGCGCATTGATTCCCTAGGTAGTTGCACAGCTCGAGTCCCTCGAGCTGCTGGGCCTGAGCCTTTTTGGAATGCGCTTTGACCTTGACGACGACGAGGTCCCCCTCCCCCGAGAACGAATCCTCAATCGCATTCCAAATCATGTGCCATAAATCTGCATGCGGTCGCCTGGCTTGGCGGCACCAAACTGGGCCTCGCCTGAAGCCCCGAACGACTGTGGAATTATCGATCCCTACCTGCAGAGGGGCTGTGCCGTGGCGGAGAACATTCAAGAAACCATACAATTCAGCTCTAAACACACTTTGTGCCTGCCTTACTCCTGGAACCGTGCCATGCATCGCTTTGCGTGCGTTGCCGGGCTGGTCAACAAAGCAGAGGCCCCAACCGAACGTTTTCAACCCAGAGACCCCGACCCCCGACCCATCCGAATAGGCCAGGCCCGAGAGAAGGGGATCGTCCCCGTACTCGGGGTCCAGGGTCTCAATGCTGGGCGTGACGTCCTGGAAGGGGTCCCCCAGTGGGTGAGGCGCGAGAGCTCTGGAGAAGAGACGGGAGGAGGAGCTCGAGGAGGAGGCACGGTGGATTATATCAGGATAAGATTCACCTGCAGCCTGGCGCTGCCCCTGAAACGCTGGACACCTACAAAATCTATGGTGTTGATTTCCTATGGCGTGCCCGCACTTTTGACAACTTCGATCTTCCGAGTGGCCTGCTCTCCACACTTTATCTTGCGTCCAAAAATCGCTGCACAGGAAAGCTAGCATAGCCGACTGCTTCTGGCCCTTTTTCTTTTTTGTCCTGACTGCTGCGCGACAAGGCTCGAGGAAGGGCTTCCGAAAGGGCATGCCTCGCTGCGTTGCCCAGTCGGTGAGCTCTTGATCCTCTAAACGAAGGTAAATATACTTGCGCAGCGTGCTTGGCGCCGATCGGCGCATGTCAAACATTTCACCAGTGTGAGTGCGGATGGTGTGCCAGCTAGGCCAGGACCAGCCCAGCCTCTGGAGCGTAAGATTACAAGCAAAAGCTGGCCCTCGAACTTGGCTCCAGGGGCGATCTAGCGTCCGACTCCGTCTGGCCGCTTCGCGTGACATTTCCCTGCGCCAGGCCCTGGCCATGTCTACCTGATGCACTCCATTCCAGGCCTGCGTGGCCCACATGCATAGCGGCCTCTGCGATCCCGCGACCACAGGATCAACTTGATACGTCCAGAGTCGGAGGACTCTGTCTCGACCAATCGCACTACCGCCCAGGGTGCCCGAAACCATGACACGCATTCTGTTCAGAGAAACAGGCGAGACTCCTAAACAGCTCGACCCGTAGGTCACGGACGGGATCACCCCTTGGCGGACAACCCTGGCGAGGCGGGCCCCTTGCTTTGAGAGGGCTTTTAATTTTGACTTGCGCTGGCATGCGCATTTAAATCTCTTCTGCATTTTCTTTCTTTTGCGAACTACGGCGCCTCCAGCGCTGTCCACTCCCAGCTGTGAGCTGGTGTCGGTGATGGCAAGACCCAGGTCTTTGGCCCAGGCAGCGCATCGATTTCGAGCCGAGGCCGAGGCGACGAGGATGTACCCTTTGCCGCGGGCACCACGGGAGACAGGGATGCGCCAGGTACCTTCAATCTCACGGATATAGAACGTGACAGCGGCCTGCAGAACATTGAGACATCGCAACGCTCCTCGGACTTGAATACTGAGATCATCGACGAATAATTTCATCTGGAGGCGAGCCCCCCAGGCTTGATGTATTGCATCTGTGACCTGCAGCACCACCATCTTGAGTGCCCCGGTGCCACCGATCGAGCCAGCCACAACGGCCGAAAAAGTTTGCATCGACTTATTGGCTAGGACCCCTCGAAATGCAACCAGCCTGGTGGACGTGTAGATGCTGATGAGAAGCTTGGCTAGCTGCTGTGGGAAGCCGCACAGAGGGGCTACGACCCACAGAGCATTCATGGTTACATGTTCAAAAGCACGCGACAGATCCAGCACCCCCGTCACAGACACCTCCCCCTCACGCGTCCCCTCATCGTGCACCATCTGGTGCCATGCTGCCTCTTCGGAGCCCCCTCCAGGGCCCCCGAAGTCATATTTGCGCTTGGCAGGGCGCTCCCAGTCGTG